ATCAGCCAATGATAAGTAATTTATCATGCTGTCATATACTATTGCCTTAAGGGATGGGAGCTGAAGCTCGACGATAAGCCAATGTTTACGTTCCAAAACAGGGATAAACACCTACAATCATAAGTAATAATTCATTCATTTGCGCACTTATTTATGAATACCTTTAAACTCAATCTAAAATAAATACTAACCTTATCGACCTCCCACCATACAGGATAAAGTTTAGCTTGTCCATTGCCCAACGCAAATGATTCATCTCGTTAATTCTTCAAGTGAACGGCGTTAAAAGACATCGGCATAATTGTATATCGTGTATTTCTTTTATTTTCCTTAAGTTTCCTAATTATTAGAAGACGTGACACCCACGCATCGATATGTTGTTTTACAAAAAAAGACATATATTAGTAACTTACATAAATTTAAAAAAAATAATCAAATTGAAATATAAGAAAAATATAAGACTTACCCCTCCATCGAAATAGCCATTGTCTTCGACCCCTAATAATACGCCCCACCAAGATCGATCAAGCAACAAATATATATCATCGTTGAGCTTGCATATGTCAGTGAAACACCTCTGGCTCCGCTCATGTAGATAAAAATCAACTGTGGTCTTAGCCCAAAGGGTGTTATCCAGAATTGTATCCGGTAGTTGTCTCATCTCCACTTCAGATACCGGTATGGTACTGGCCGGTAACTCATACGAGAGCCAACTTGAATCCATCATGTCCGGCACGTAAGAGGGTTTCTCAAGAATCCTACATATGACGTTATGTGAATCGGGCTCTTGAATGGTGGGAGGGACCTCTTCAACGATGACAGTGGCCTCTTGAACGGTGGGAGGGGACTCTCGAGGAATGATAGGGGCCTCTTCAACGATAGGAGTGGACTCTTGAGGGATGACAGGAGAGTCGGGCATCTTCTTGCGGTGTCTTTGCACTATTGGGGTGTACGGAGACTTAATAGCACGTGCACGCCGTCTGATGCGTGAACTCTGTCGTGCAAGAAAAACCCGATGTAAAGCATCCACCTTATCGGGCCGCTAAATAATTAAATACAAATATCAGTAAATAAACATACATGATATTTAAACAGTGAAAACAAAGACAAATATGTTTCAAACTTGCATTGAATTCACCCAAGTCATTATTCTATCATAGTTCACAAAATGCATCAGATAACAAAGGCAAATATGTTTCAAACTTGCAACATTGTCAACTTAGTATTTGTCTTTGTCTATTGGTTGAAGTAATGCAATTCATTCAAGTTTCAATTTGCAGAAGAAGAATAGTTTCTGGAACTTAAAATCGCAACGTGAAAAATGACTATCGCAACGCGAAATGAAAATCGCAACGACAAAATCGCAACGCGAAACTATAATCGCGTTGCGATTTTTGGTTTCGCGTTGCGATTTTGTCGTTGTGATTTTCATTTCACGTTGCGATTCTCTCGTTGCGATTTTCATTTCGAGTTGCGATAGTCATTCTCTCGTTGCGATTTTTATTTCAACCAAAAGACAAAACAGTGTTACTAAATTAGTTTCAAGAATAAACTATTTTTTCTTCTTCAGCAAATTGAAACTTGAATGGATTGCATTACTTCAACCAAAAGACAAAACAAAGACAAATACTAACTTCAGAGTATTAAAGAATACACAGTTTAGCAGAATTGGCAGCAAACGAACAAATTTACTTTCAACCAAAAGACAAAACAAAGACAAATACTAACTTCACAGTGTTAAAGAATACACGGTTTAGCAGAATTGGCAGCAACCAAATATACTTCAACCAAAAGATAAAACAAAAGACAAATACTAACTTCACAGTGTTAATAAACAGTTTAGCAGTATTGGCAGCAACCGAATAAATTTACTAAGCAATCTAAGTGAAATTACGAGTAAATTTATCATCAAGTTAAATATGGAAAATCTTAAACTTACCTCGTTGCGTAGAGTATGAACCTCATTCTACAACGATACTACCATCTTACGTAGAGCGACAACCTCACCACGTAAAGTAGACACCTCCACACGCCATGCACCATCGTTATCGCGTAGAGTACCGATCTCCTCACGCAAAGCATTGACCTCATCACGTAACTCCCTTGACTCATCCCGTGGAGGTGGAGGTGGAGAACAGGGAGATAGAAGTCGTAGCATCTTTGCCGGTCGCCTATCATGAGGTGATGGTGGAGAAGAGGCTCGATGATGTGACTGGATAGGTGATGGCTCTCGTTGTAGAGGTGTATAGTCGGGTCGATCAGGTGATGGCTTTGGGTGAGGTGATGGCTCTCGAAGTGGAGAAAGTGGAGGCTGCTCATCATTCGTGCCATCAAGAAAACGCTGACTAGCTTGCCACCAATCAGTGGCAAGCTCAGCCTCCGTGGGTGTCAGTCTCATTAATGGAGTGTTGGCCTCCTAAAAATATAAAAACTCAAACAAAGTTAAACGTCTACTATTAATAACTTGTTTATATATGATAGTATTTGTGTTAACTTACATTATTTATTGTCGCATATGGTATTAAGTCTTCCCAATCCAACAGACGTTTCCTCTTCCAGGAAATAGCCCTAGGAATATCATTTGAGGTTTTTAATGCATATGTCTGCATGCTGGGGAAAGCCTCGAATATCCAAATCTACAAACAATATAATAACAAACATTAGTAATTGTTAAATAATTAATTATAATTTTGAAAATATTATATAGAAATTCTTACCTTAAAGGCCCAAACAAAGCCTGACAAAGTGTATTTCGACCTATCGTCCCGTAAACTTTTGCGGTCATCAAAGGTAGACGACAACTTAGTCTAGATAGCTTTCCATATATACGAACCCCACGGAAACAGATTTCATGCATTTAGGTCATCTACCAATAATATTAGCTCCTGAGGAATAGGTTGTCTGGCCTCTCTGCCTAAAAAGCCGGCATACAAAAGTAGTAAAAGGCATACTCGGACAACATCGACATCATTCATCCGAGTAAAACCATCTTTCTTATTAAACAATTTCTTCAGGTCGTCGACGTGTAAGTTCGGCTTCTCTATTGACTCATCAGGAAAAACCCTGGATAACCATGATGGGCGGGTGATATGACGAGTGTACCAGCCTACATCATCGTGTCTAAATCGTAGACCAGTGATTAAGCAGAACTCCTTCCGCCAAAAATAAGTATACGCCGGTGGAAAATGAAACCATATCTCTTCCTCACCACGTTGTATACTGTCGGGTAAATTACTAGTCATGGTCTGAAGCCACAAATAGGTCAAATTAGCATCTCCACCCGGATGCTGTACTCTCAGCCATGGCCCGAAGCAGGTTTCCTCAAACAATTTTCTTTGTGCAGGTGAAAGCATCGAAGCAATTGTAGTGGCTAGGCTAACTTTATTCCTTAATGTCAATGAAGCCGAAAAAAATTTCTACAAAAACAATAAACATACCAAGTTAGATATACCAAAAACTACACTGTGAAGATATACCAAAAACAATAAACATAAATAGTAGTTTATTCTTGAAACTAAAATTTGCAACACTGTTTTGTCTTTTGGTTGAAATGAAAATCGCAACGAGAGAATGAAAATCGCAACGCGGAAATGACTATCGCAACGAGAGAATCGCAACACGAAATGAAAATCGCAACGAGAGAATCGCAATGCGATTTTGGTTTCGCGTTGCGATTTTTATTTCGCGTTGCGATGGTCATTTCCGCGTTGCGATTTTCATTCTCGAAACTATTCTTCTTCTGCATTACTTCAACCAAAAGACAAAACAAAGACAAATACTAACTTCACAGGGTTAAATACTAAACAGTTTAGCAGTATTGGCAGCAATCGAATGAATTTAATAAGAAATCTAAGTGTAATGGTTAATCTATTATTGAAATTACCAGTAAACTTATCATCAATTTCAATATGAAAAACCTAAAATAATACAAAAATTTCAAAATAAAAATAATTAAATAAACTAACATTCGGAAGTTGATTTTCCATTTCTGAATGATTGTGAGGGATTTCTGACCGTGAATGGTTGTGAGGGATTTCGCCGGCGATGGAGACGGAAATCTTCGGAGATGGGGACGGATTTCGCCGTAGAGAGTGAGAGATGGAGATGGGGCTGAGTGTTGTGATTTTAGGTTTGAGGTTATAAGTTGCGATTACTGTGGACGGTTCAGTTTCCGATATATTAAGAAAAAATTCGTGTTTGGAATTTGAAAAAAAATACGCGTTAATACGAATGACGCTATGTAAATCGTATTGCGATAGTCAGATTCGCATTGCGATTTACGTATTCGCATTACGATTTTCCTAATTCGCATTGCGATTTACTTAATTGCGTTGCGATTTACTTAATCGCGTTACGATTTACGTATTCGCATTACGAATTATGAAAATCGCAATACGAATACATAAATCGCAATGCGAATTAGGAAAATCGCAATGCGAATACGTAATCGCATTACGATTTACGATACCGGAGATCACGTTACGAATTATCGATCGCATTGCGATTTAGTTGGTCATTTTGACAAATTCAAAAAAAATTGATTAAAATCGTATATTATAAGACATTTTTTATTTTTTGTCACTGAGGTTATTTTCTCTAACAAAAAAAGCAAGAAAAATACATTTCCTGAGGGCAATTTCGTCAATAAACCTGAATATTATAAAACATTTATTTTGGCTTGTCCGATGCCGTTGTCTTTTGTGCTCTCAGAACTGCTAATCACTGAGTGCAGACATTTTCATTTTTAACGTTCAAAGTAGTAAAAGTGTTAACACTTGAGAAAAGATGGTTTCTTTGCTGTGAAAGATTGTTTCATGAAGATGAAAGAGTCCGCCAATGGTGAAAGCAACACATTTTTTGACCCAAAGTAAATAACCTTGAAGCCATATGTTTTCTTTTCGTAAAGCACTTTCCTTTTCACTGTTTGGTTAAGTTTCCTGGGAAAATTTTTAGGAAGGAAAAGGGAAATTAAGGGTTTTGATCTGATAGCAAGAAGAAAAATGGGGTGTTGGTACTCGAGGATTGATAGAGAAGAGAGTGTTTCACGTTGTAAAGCGAGGAAGGGATACATAAAACAACTGGTTAAAGCTAGGCAAGCTCTCGCCGCTTCACATTCTATGTATCTACGCTCTTTACGAGCCACGGGCTCGGCTCTGGTACAATTTTCGAGCAACGAGACCACTCTCCACAACCACCACCACCATGCACCGCCGGCGCCTCAACCGCCACCTCTTCCACAGCCTCCAATGAGTCCTAGTTCAGATACTTGGACATCTGGCATTACCACTGCCTCCCCTGCTCTCCCACCTCCACCTCCATCGAGTAGCTGGGATTTCTGGGATCCCTTCGCACAGGCTAATGCGTCTCGGTCAGTCACGGAGGAGGAATGGGAGGTTGCCACGTCTGCGTCCGAGGCGGCTGTCACCGCTGCGAGCGTGGCCGCGCCGCCTTCCGTGGTGAGTGGGACGTTCTCTAAAGACACGGGGAGTGAGCTTGCTATGGTCGTTTCTAGGAATACTAAAGAACTGGTTGAGATCGTGAAAGAGGTTGATGAGTATTTTCTTAAAGCAGCCGACGCCGGCAGCCATCTCTCGCTGCTTTTAGAAGTCTCAAATTCCAATTTTTCAGCTCAAAGCAAAGGAGGTACAATAGATCTCTCTCGTCGCCTCATTTTCTTTCTAAATTTCACCATTTTGATTCCATTTTGTCGCAGGCAAAGTGTACAACTATGGCTGCAATCTGACACCAACACCATGGACATGGAATTGTAATCAAAGAACGGAAGGAATTGGAAAATTGGGCGAGGACAAAAATGTTGGAAATACAAGTGGAAATGCTCTTAGCAGCAGCCATTGTTCCACCATAGAGAGGTTATACGCTTGGGAGAAGAAATTATATCAGGAAGTCAAGGTGTTTTCATTATTTAAGTGCATGCAAGTTTTAATTACACCATCTTCTTCATTAAAATCCCTTTTATTGGCCTTTCATTTTGTTTTTTAGAATGCTGAGGCTATAAAGATAGAGCATGAGAAGAAGGTAGCCCATCTGAGGAAGCTTGAAGTGAAGAGAGCTGACCATATGAAGATCGAGAAAACAAAGAAAGAAGTTGAAAAATTAGAGTCCCAAATGATGGTTGCTTCACAAGCCACTGAAACTACATCTGCTGAAATCATCAGACTGAGAGAATCAGAACTTTATCCTCAGCTTCTGGAGCTTGTAAAAGGGTTAGTCTTGATTCTTTCATCATTCTTTTTCCATGGACTGAGCTATTTTAATCTGCAATGTTATTGTATTTGCTTGTTATGTAGATTGATGTGCATGTGGAGAAGCATGTATGAGATCCACCAAGTTCACACGCACATAGTTCAGCAGCTCAAGTACCTTAACTTCATCCCTTCGAATGAGCCGACATCCGAGATTCACAGGCAATCAACTCTCCAGCTCGAGCTGGAAGTCCAGCAATGGCATTTGTCTTTCTGTAATTTAGTCAAAGCTCAACGAGACTACATTCAGTCCCTTGCAGGCTGGCTACGGCTTAGCCTTTTCCAGTTCAGCAAAAGCTCTGTTTTAAGGAACAGCCAGGAATCGAAAATTTACTCCTTTTGTGAAGAGTGGCATCTTGCAGTCGACAGGATTCCAGACAAGGTAGCATCCGATGGAATCAAGAGCTTCTTGACAGTAATCCATGCCATTGTGGTTCAGCAAGCAGAGGAGTACAAGCGAAAGAAGAAAACAGATTCCGCATTCAAAGATTTCGAGAAGAAAGCTGCGGAGCTTCGGTCACTTGAAAGCAAGTATAGCCCTTATTCGGTGCTGGAGACGAATAAGGACCCCGTTGCAGAAAAGAGAACAAAGGTGGACTTATTTAGAGCAAAGGCGGAGGAGGAAAACAATAAGCATGAGAAGTCAGTGAGTGTAACGAGGGCAATGACTTTGAACAACCTTCAAATGGGATTTCCTCATGTGTTTCAGGCAATGGTAGGGTTTTCAAGTGTATGCATGCAAGCATTCGAATCGGTATACAACCAAGCCAAGAGCATCGAACAAGAGCATGATGTGAAGAGAATTCTCCCTAATTGAAAAAAACATATATAAAGAACTCAAGAATACCAGGCAAAAATGATGCTACCTTGAATAAACAGCCTGCTTTTTGTGTATAGAGGCTCATCGTCTCCAAGGAAAGTGCCTCGTGGTTCGTTTTAAAGGGCAATGGTGGTGTTAGAGCTTTGAGAATGGGTATTTAAGTATGAATATAAGATTGGAAAGTGTTGAAAATGCTTTGATTAACGTTCTTGCCTTTTCAAATATAATGATATTCTTATTCTCATATATCCAATGTGTTTATAGGGTTTCTGTACTGGACAAAGTGTGAAATACACCTCATGTCATTAAATTATTAGTTTGATTAAAATAGGTCATTTTAAAAATATATATATAATTTAATTAAAATTGAGATATATTACATCTAATGCATTTGAGATAATAATAGTTTTAATCTCTAACACGTATATATTCTTTAATTTGATCTTAATTTAAAACAATCTAATATATTTAGTCATTTATATTTAAATTTTTATCAATCTCATCTATTACTATACTATCAAAATAAACAGATTCATCGAAACAAAGCAGCAATTGCATAATCGCATTATACTATAAACAAACATGTATGCTATTGTTAAATTATTATTATATCATTAAAGTAGTTTAATATTTGTGTGAGAGAGAGAAATACTAAGACTAAATTGATAAAAAAGAAGATTAAATATATAAAATTAATTTTTTTTCTAACGTTTCAAATTTAACCAAATCGATAAAAATAATAAATTTTGATGATTAAAATTATTATCAGCATGATTTCTTCTACCAATTTAGCGGGAAATCCGGGGTTGGCCGAATGACACGTTGGAAGAAATTAGTTGATTTAGATTGGTTGGATCCACGAACGATTCAAACGGCTCTAAACAATCAAAACCAAAAACAAACTCTTGTCTAATTCCACCTAGCCTTTCCTGCAACCTTTCGCCCTTCGCGCTTATTTCGGTGAAAAATATGAAATGCAGGTGGCTGATTGAAGAAGAAGAAAAGGAATCAGCTTTTGAGGGTTTTACTAGGGATTTCGAACCTTCTCCCTCAGGTGTTAAGATCTGGGGCTAATCTTTAAGTGAAAAAGAAAAATAAAAACTAAACAAAGAAGGAAAAAGAAAATGAGCGCTACCAGGTTTATAAAGTGCGTGACTGTTGGTGATGGTGCCGTTGGTAAAACTTGTTTGCTGATTTCTTACACCAGCAACACTTTCCCTACGGTAATTTTTTTTGACGCTTCAATGTTTAATGTTGAATTGTGCTTTGTTATTAAGGGGGGGGGGGACTATCGCGTCGGTTTTAGTCATTAGCAATTTTTATTGAATTTGTAAAGAGAAATCTATCGTTGAAGATCGGGTTTCTTATGCTTTTCATTGCGGTGGGAAACAGGATTATGTGCCAACTGTTTTCGACAATTTCAGCGCAAATGTTGTTGTCAATGGAAGTACTGTTAATCTGGGGTTGTGGGATACTGCAGGTACTTTGCTCATTGACCTTTTGCATTTCTTTTAAAATTTCATCGTTAGAAGAACGATCACAGAGATTTTCTGTTTTATATGGTGATTCTTAGTTTGAAATTCTGGGAACAGGACAGGAGGATTATAACAGATTAAGACCCTTGAGTTATCGTGGCGCAGATGTGTTCGTCTTGGCATTTTCCCTCATTAGCAAGGCCAGTTATGAAAACGTTTCTAAAAAGGTTTGGTTACTCGCAATGTTATAAAATCTCAAACAAAGAGAACTGCTTTGGAAACTGGCTTTCAATTTATTGTTCACTTACAGTTTATTTTCTTGGCTTGTTTCAGTGGATTCCGGAGCTGAATCATTATGCCCCAGGTGTGCCAGTTGTTCTTGTTGGAACCAAGCTTGGTAGGTTTATAAAATTTCTTTCATGCAATGCTCTCGGATGAGGAGTATTTTAGGTATCCATGCAAATGAAAGGCTGTTAATCTTATAACAATTATGAATAGTTTTGTTCTTTATACTACGAATTTAGGTGGGACTTATCTGCAGTTGTGAGTAATCCACAATTGCATGTGTTCATTTTTTTATTTTCCTAATGAGCCAGATCTTCGGGACGATAAGCAGTACCTTAATGATCATCCTGGAGCTGTGGCCATTTCTACAGCCCAGGTACTGATTTTAGTATCAGTCCATGTTTTTCCTGAAATGTCATTCTGTTTTAGCTTGTTTTCCTATTGCATGGAATTTTATTATTTGCATATAGCTAATTCTTAGCCTTACTTCCTTTTTCTTTCCGCCTGTGTAAGGGAGAGGAGCTGAGAAAGCAGATCGATGCGCCTGCATACATCGAATGCAGTGCAAAGTCGCAGCAGGTATCTGTTGTTTCATAAAACGTACATATGTTTCATTATAGTCGAAGAAGGTTTATGCTGAAGGGATTTGTTTCGACTTCACTGCAGAATGTGAAGTCAGTGTTTGATTCAGCCATCAAAATCGTTCTTCAACCTCCCAAGCTGAAGAAAAAGAAGAACAAAGCATGCTCGGTATTGTGAGCAGAAAAGGAAAATGCATCCGTCGTCCTACTACCCCGCCCTTTCCCTTTCTCCTCTCCTTGCACTTGAAGATATTAGAAGCCCTGGATATTATATTAGTCTCCCAACTGACAGCTCAGGATCTTAGCAACGCACCTAGTGGTCTGGTAGAATTGCTTTATTGAAACTCTTGTTCAAACGATGCCAGCCTCCTTCCTGCACTCTTTTTTTGATAAAATTTATGTATTAATGCTACTTGAACATTCTAGTTAGGAAACTGCTCGGACAGTCTTTTAATTTATTGCTCGTCATTGGTTTTAAATAAGAATTGGAATGTTTTATTGTGCTTAGTTTCTTCCAACATGTTTTTTTTCCAAACTATCTGTGGGTCTTTTCTTTTGTAAATATGCTCTTATTTATAAGCATATCACATTGTAAACGACAGGCATTAAGACCAGGGTCAAAATTCGAAATAATTAAGTACGATAAGATGAAACTGAATTTAAATATGGCAAATCAAGAAACAAAGGACAATCATTCCTACAATACAAAATCAACTACTCGAATATTTTTACTTGCAAGTATTTACAATGAGCAGTGACCCAATGAATGCAAGAAAATCATAATGGAAGGGCAACATGATCATATGAACAAAGGGTAATACTCGATATTACTACAAAGAATTGATTATTGTAATACATCAGTTCTATTTTTCTCTTCACCAACAAGGGTTAAAAGGAAAAAAGAAGTAAGCCTCGGTAGCCAATTTTTTTCCAATTAAGGGTCGCCGCACAAAATTCATCATCCTCAATTGAGTCCAAATCCCAAACGTAAACGGAAGAGCTGAAATGCTGGCAACAAACCCTTCATACTTTCAGTACTTTTAAGCACTTTCAGCACCATTTTCTAGTTGACACTTTGCACGCCTTCTCAGCACATTTACTTCAGAACGGTACCGTGAAAGGTAAAGCATATATATCAGCCTCGGGCAAAAAGCAAGCATGTGGCCAACTTGTTGAGTTCATTTGACACCAGCCAACATTTCCATCTTTGCTGCTTTTAACCCCGCTGCTGTTGAGATTTTGCTTCTGAGACAGCCAGTCCTCATCACTAAAACTGGTTAACTCGCTCTGCAGTGTAGGTCCAATCCAATCCTCCACAAGATTTTTGAATTGTGAAGTTAGTGTAGGAGAGCAACTGCAACACAGGTTTGACGGAAATGATCCCTGAGCATTATAAGTAAGACTTTCTGAAGCACCAGAAGAGGAGCAAGGTTTTTCTTTGCTGAGCTTGGGAGTTAACTCCGGAAGTCTAATATTGGATGTAGAACAAGGATGTTTCCCCAGCTCCCAGCCTGATCTAGGAACATGCTCATGCGTCCCTTGAACAAAGGCCTCATCAATCTTTCCTGAGGTAGAGCAAGGCTGCTCATTGCAGGGTAGCACTATGGGATCTGCATGCCTTTGAGAAGACAAACAGATCCGGATAATGCTTCCTTCACATTAATACAATATGAATACACAATATCAGTACCCATGTGAAGCAAACAAACCCAACAAGTAAACAGGCTCTCCAAGGTAAGGAAGAGATACAAACACACTAACCAGAATTATGCCCACTGTCAGACGGGGGTGATCTCAGCTTCTGTTTTTTACTGCTGTTAAGGGTGCTATCCGAAGAGTTCTGGGGTCCCGCTGCATGACCATGTTCTTCAGTAAGCGTACTCTTCTCAAAACATTCAGCTTCGTTTTGTCTGCTCTTTTGACGGTCTCCACCTTTTTGACCTTCTTGGCTCCTCTCGTCTTTATGCCGTTTCTTATGACCATGCTTCTTACTTTTGGACTCTCCACTGTGCCAGGCTTTGTCTATTTCTTTCTTCTCCCGTTTTTTCTCTTTCTTCTCTTTCTTTTCTTTCTTCCTTTCTTTCTTAGCCTTCTCTTCTTCTCTTTTAAGCTACAAATTACAAGAGAGAGAGTCGGTTTATGAACATACAGGGCAAGCCAATAAGAACAGGCAAAACAACAATAAGAGAACACAGGCAGTCCTTGAACCAACTTCAGCAAGAACAAGTACAAATGAAAGATTCCCTCTTACTATGTTCACTAATAACAAATGACTCTGTAAACTTCACAATCAATTAAATAATTTCGATTATATAACTTGCATGTTTCTTTGTGTTCCATTTTCCAGTGCAAATTTACAAGCAGCTCTAATAAAAGTTAGGATCTGTTTTCAAGTAACATCTCACCGTGTTCTGTAATGAAGTGGCTAATGCAGTTTCACTAAACTCAAGTCAATGTCATAACAATTTCAATTTTAAGCTTCAATCCACTTCTTACTATTTTAACGCATACAAAGATTTACACTTCAGTACACATTCACATTGTTCCTTTGTATACTGAACAAATAAGAATGGTTGCATCTCTACCATTCATATACAAATGAAACGATGAACAATCAGCATCGTTTCATTCCTAGAATGATTTGGGTTCAATTTCTCTTAGTTAACACTTAACTTACTAAAAGAAAATTCTCCATCTATTTTACAAGAAATCCAGAAAAAGAAATCATGGACAGGTCGGTAAGGAAACGATTACACATTAAATTGCTTGATCCTCTATCCAATCTTTTCACAGCTTTTTTAGCTTTAATATATATTAACACATCTTATAGGAATTAAGACACTTCATAACGCTCAGCTCCCTAACACAACATATATTCTTCACGTCCTTTTGTTATACAGACAAAAGCAAGATATCGAGGAAAGCGAATTGCAGCAGTCGAGCAAAGAGGGTTAAAAACCCCAGAAAGCTGTTTAGCCTACTGGGGATTTGCTCAACAAACCTTGATCGATTCAATCAGTGCCTCATCGCGGATTCCGTTCTTTACGTATCCCGGTGGAGGAAACGGAAAACACCGAGACATCTGTTGATTCACCAATAACCAAACAATCCGATATCGAAAAGGGAAATGAAACCCTAGATCGGGATCGGGTTAAGAAAAAAATTATAGCCTTAAAATCTTGGGTGCTCTCAGGAAAACCCTCAGCTTGTCCCGCTCAAAAACAATTTAAAAAAAAAGAATGAAAAACTAATTAAAAAGGGGCGATTCTCATGTTAGCGTTCGAAGAGAAGAGACGCTATTTAGATCCAAACGCAGAGAGAGAGAGAGAGGCTTTGGATCCAAAGTATTTTTTGATAGGCAAAGAGGGGGTATTTATAGCGGATTTGACCCTTCCTTTCGAAGAATTACTAGTGAAACGGCGGCGTTTAAGAGAATCGATTTAACGGCTGTTTGGAAACGAAAAGAACCTACCCAATCACAGGCTATTTCTAACATAATTGTACCCAGCATAATATTTCGGTATAACTTAGGATTTAGTCCTTTTACTGTATTAAAATTTGAGATTTTTTTAATTAAATGGAGAGTATTACATTTAGATTAATGCCGAGATTGAATTTTTAAATAGGTGAGAAAACATAAGTATCCTTAATCACTCAGTCAATTAATGAATCTCTTAAAATTTGAGACTTATTCCTTTAGTATAATTTTTATTTTGTAATATTATTAGTAGATAATTAATAACAATGTTAGTACTACTCTTCATTAAAATAATAACATTATTTTTTATTTTTTACCATACTATAAAACTATATGAAAGTATCATCAAATATTTTTAATTAATAATAAATGTATATACTAATGAGCAATTAAAGTTTAATAAATATCAATTAATAACCAACTTATCAGTTTGAACTTAATATTAATATTACAAAAATACAGGGACCAGAACCATAATTAAATCCAATATTTCATATAAGAAAATTCATACATTTCATATTTTTCCAAACACTAATAATGTACAAAGATTAAAACAGTACTTTAGGATGGATCACATGATTACACAAGCATTTGGGTTCTCATCACTAAAGGCAGTGGATACTTGACTTCAAACGAGGTGGCCCTGGCGAGCTGACCAGCTTCCGGATCTTGGACCACATTCCGGACATACCCAGGCGGCGCCTTCTTGTCATATGCCCCCGGTGCATAAGGGTGAGGCGCGACATCATAAGACACGTAAGGCCAGAACTCAACTTTCTTCCCCGTCCGATGCGCACCCGTTCCAAGACCTTGTCGGGATCCACGTAACCGACCACCGTGAGCTTGCTTTGCTTGGGGTTCACTTCCACTTGGGTCACCCCTTTCATGCCCTCCACCGATTTCTTCACCCTCCTCTCGCATCCCTCGCAGTCCATCTTCACTTTTATCTCCACCGTCTGCAACAACAAAATATCAAATCAAACACTTCAACAACAAAAAAAGGAAAAGAAGGGATCAAAGCTTGAATGTAATTGTTTCTTTTTAATCCTTTTATGTCTGGGAAAGTCACAGTCAAAGAGTTCAAAGATAAAATCCAGGAGACCCATTGAAACTATGAAAACGAGGAAACTAAAGAGTTGTTACAAAAATTGCATCATGCATGCTTCATGTGCAGTTAGTAGGAAAAAAAACAAGCTCAGATATCGTTTTCTTCAGATACCGCTTAAGATTGATATTTACTTAAGCAGAAGAGCAGCCTGGAATCTTCTGGTTACTTCGGTTGTTTTTAGAGCCGTCCTGTTGTTATATAGCTTTGTTTTTTCCAGGTAATTTCTGGGCATGGTGTGGAACTCCTATTATTTGCAGCACCAGTATATGGGTCAATCCCTGACTGAGATTCAGCTACGAAACAAGGATTTATAATGGGTCCAAAGGTGCAGACCAGCAAGCCCATAATCCAAGTAGGATCTCTAACGAGTTGTTGCATATCCTTCATAAATATAGTTATAATCGTCAACATACCTAGCATGGATTAGATACATTTTTAATTTTCTTTTGTAATAGAAAAAATAGCTTTGTATTTAACGTGTTTAGACTATAATTTTTTTCAAAACAATTGCGTATTATTATAGGCCTGTAAATGAACTGAACGTTCAGCGAACCGTTCATGAACCGTGCGGCGGGAAGCTTGTTTATGTGCATTTATTTATTAAATGAACGAACATGAACAATATTTTGTGTTCGTTTAATTAAATGAACGAACATGAATATATGTCTCGTTCGTTCATTTACGTTCGTGAACGTTCAGTTATGTTCGTTCGGTTATGTTCGTTTATGTTCTTTCATTTATGTTTAACACAATCTTCTTAAATCAATTTTGGTGACCAATTTGTAAGTATCTTAAAAATATTAATTAATCTGATATTCTGATGACCAACTCCATAATTAACCCAATTTTATTTGGAGATTAAATCCAATATGTTAACCCGTGAGGTACCTCGCACCTATATTCATTTTTCCCCTTTTTTTCCCAAACCCTAGTGTTCACTAGAGAGTGGAGACGATCGCTGAAAGCTTCAAAACAAGTTATATTATAGTGTAATCTGAAGTTTTACAGGTATGTTTTCATATCTTTCTCTGCTTTATTTGGCTTAATTGTTGATATGTAAAGTTATTGTGGGTATCTTCACATCTAAAACTTAAGAAAACATCATACTTCTTTCTAGAAATAGATGGGAAGATAAATGTAACAATCGGAAGTATATGAGCATTAATAAAGAGAAAAATATATAGAATTTGCCAGAAAACAAACCAAAGGTTTCTATGTAATTTCTGAAAAAGAGTGTAATAGCGGAATTAATGGGTTTTCTAGGAAGAACTCATTAATAAGTAGAAAATACACTTTGACAATGAACTTTTGTTTTCATAGTTCTTGTGTGACATTTAGTTGTGGAGTAGACTTTAGGTACGTTAAAATTTTGAATAGTGGTTTACCAATAATATCAGTTACGATATGTAACATCGAAGGGATTTCAGATCTATGTTATTGCCTTGTAGTCCAATTTGTATCGTTCGAAATCTTCATGCAGTTAAATTTTCTACTCTGCTGAAATGACTATTATTAACAAACCTCACTAAAATTTGACATTGATGTCACAAAACTTTTAGCCGGCAAATTTATTAGAATAACGTAGTGAAAAATATTGTTCATATGTAATCATGGACCACTAAGATAAATGTTATATTGTTAAATTAAAGTCGTGTGAATCATTTAATATCTTTAAAAGATCTATTGAAATATTTGGTATCTTCAAACATTTCATCAATGCTAATCAGCTCTTACGCTATTTATCACTGTAGATTTGGTTGATTTGCATTGTCGACTGTTTTTCATGAAAGAACAATGGAAGGTAGGGTCTCCAACGTTTATGTTCGTGTTCATTTATGTTCGTGTTCGTTTATTTATTAAATGAACGAACATGAACAAGTTATATTCCTTAATAAACGTACATGAACAAAAAAAATTGTTTGTTTATGTTCGTGTTCGTTTATGTTCGTTTATTTATTAAATGAACGAACATGAACATACCTCCGTTCGTGTGCGTTCGGTTCGTTTACAGGAGGGTATATACTCATAGAATTTGTAATTTCAATAAAATTACTGAAAACTTTGGTAAAAATAACAAGCTTGAGTTCACCATGTCTGCAATTCATGCAACAATTAAATTCTTAAACACATTCCATGGCTACATGCTCTTTCCTTTCTGATGCCTTGGAAAGGTGCATTTATTACCTATTGCATTACCATGTATAGGAGTTGGCATCTCTATACCTAAATTTCATTTTGTGTGAAATTTGTGAAGTTTTTGTCCAACTCAAGTTAGTTGAGTGATCTAATTATGCATTTATGAGCCTTCACTGAACGCATTAATTCCAATTACGATATAATAATCAATGAAGCTGGCTCAATTTCATGTCATATCCCACTTGTTGAGCATATTTGAGGTGAAAAAAGATGAGCCAGCAACGATTTCCAAGCAGGCAACAAGTCAACAACTAAAAACACACTGCTTTGAGATTGGTTGGGGGTTGAATTTAATGTTATTATTTTTGGCTGATATTTCCAAATTAATATAAGGATAACGCTTAGACACTGACTAATACCAGCCTGTCCCCTGTTCTTCATCTTGCTGCAAGTAAACCACTCGAATGAATTACAGAGGGAAATCACTGAATGCAAGGTATTGTTTACCAGTAATGTATGATACCAATTTGGCATTTTTTTTTACAGAAAGATGCTTTTGGAAAGAGAATAAAGCTTCAAAATTTGAAGGTAGATGCAGAGAAAAAGGGAAAAATGGGGGGGAATCTACATATCTTTCCTTTGAGCTTTATTTCCAGCTGATATTTTGACATTAATGATGCTGCATTATTGTATACAACTACCCTGAAAATGTATAAGCAAGCTCTGAATTGGCTGCCACATTGACAAATACATTAAAACACCACATCTTCCATTTTTCATGCCTTTATAAATTCATAAAGATGGACCATGTATCATAAGGAAAAAGCAAATTGAAAACCAGGAAATGAGAATCATCTTCTCTCAATTTCAAGCACCCTTTTCGTTTTCTTCTTGTTTTAGTAGGACCATTGTCTTCCTTGTTTTTGTGGTGTTATATTGTCATGATGACAATGAAGCTGCCTTGGTCCTGCCTAACAACGAGACCATTCCTGCAGTTTTCGTGTTTGGGGATTCGATAGTTGATCCGGGGAACAACAACAATCTCCCCACCATAGCTAAAGGCAATTTCCTCCCTTACGGGAGGGATTTCAAAGGCGGACCGACGGGACGGTTTTCGAATGGCAAAGTCCCTTCCGACATTATAGGTAGTGTAGCCAATAAACCACAACTTATCAACTTCATATCCCCCAATTGCAACACTTAACTTGTATACATTGTCAGTGACTTCCGATCCAAATTATTTGCAGCTGAAGAATTTGGAGTTAAGGATCTGGTGCCTGCTTATCTTGATACCAAAGTAAAGCTCCAAGATCTCCTCACCGGTGTGAGTTTTGCCTCAGGGGCAGCAGGATATGATCCTCAGACAGCAAAAACAGCGGTATATACATACACACACACAACATATAGACATGTTTTATTGCAGTCACAGAACAATTAATTTCATCTTTCTGTCTAACATGTTTTGGCAGAATGTTATATCGATGTCGGACCAGTTAGAACTGTTCAAGGAATGCATAAAGAAGATAGAAGCAGCAGTAGGAAAAGAGAGAACTGCAACCATAGTTTCAAAAGCCATATATATAGTGTGCACCGGCAGCAACGATGTTTC